ATTGATATGGATAGATAGATAGATCGATAGATAGATAGATAGATATATAGGTAGACATGTATATATATATATATGTATATGTATATGTATATATATATATAAATAAATAGATAAATAAATAAATAGATCAATAAATAAACAAATAAAAATATATATTTATATAATATATATACGCCCTCTAAGCCCATATCTTGGAAAGCTTCTCGAAGGGCACACTTGCTCGCTTTGAAACGCCTACCAGCCAAAATGCTCAAAAACGTACGTTTTGCCACACCGAAACAGCATGGCACTGCGGGACAGATCCTGCCTTCGAAGGGCAGCTGGTCGTGGCGCCGTCAGCTCCTGAACTGCCTGCCAGTGACGGAGAACAGGCCGCTGCTGTCTCGGGCGCCTCCCCCTGCAAGGGCAACGGCAGGGGTCGGCGGATATTTATATTTTTTCTTATATATATTTATTTATCTATTTTCATTTATTTATTTTTATTTATTTATTAATTTATTTATTTTCATTAGTTAATTAATTAATTCATTTATTTATTTATTTATTCATTCATTCATTCATTCATTCATTCATTTATATATTTATTTATAATTATATATATATATATATATTTATTGAACTATCTATGTATTTTTATTTTTATTTATTTATTTATTTATTTTTTTCTTCATTTATTTATGTACACACAATAGGCATGCACACAGATGCCAACCAACAAATGTTTTGGTGTGGGAGGGTGAGGTGGGATTGTTGGCCTGCACTGCGAACGTTTTCACGGCATTGGAGACACCTTCGTTTTGCTTAATGCGTAGCACGGGTTGACCGCTTGCTCGACCGCTTAATGCGTAGGGCCCCGAGGGTTGCGCCTAGGTTTTGCGGTCATGTCGTGGCGAAGAGCCCTTGCTCTGCTTGATGAAACACAAGCGTAAACACAGATGAATACTTGGAAAAAATAATCCATGGAATCAACGCCACAGGCCGATTGCCCTGCCTGCTCAGACACCCAGAAGTACTTGCCCAAGCAGTGTGCAGCTGGGCTGCACAATTGGCTGAAGAGAGGTCTCTTCAAACATATGTCAACTTTTCTCATAAGACTCCCCCGTAATGAAAAAACTAAGGCATTGTACTGCTGAAACAAAAGATAACTGGTCAGGGCACATGTTGGTCGGCTGATGAACAGCCTACTGAAAGAAAATGTGTTGGAAAAGTTAGCCAACTTTGGATGGTAGTGCGATCATAGAACATTCGTTGGCCAGATATCAATGATATTGGTGCAAGATAAGTTAAGTCTGCAATTCCCATAACATTTTGCCAGCATTTACATGCTTTTCTCCATTTTACCTGGCCGTGACATAGGGCCCTTGAGCGTCAGCTAGAAACCTGCGGTGCGCATCCCGCTTTGCTGTTTTGCCATAGGCTTGTGTGAACCCAGGCTCCACTACTTCGTCTTAGGACTTAAACCTTGGGAAGCAGGTTTCCCAAAGACTCCCAATTGCATTGGTAGCGTGCCATTGCGATCAACGTGCTCGCTCCACCGACCATGTCCGAGAGCGACGAGCAATCTGACCTCGAGGACCTCGAAGACTTTCTTGGTGAGGAGGTTGAAGAGGAGTACCTTGACGGTGACCAAGGAGAAGAAGATCCTCCTGAAGGAGAACTTCAAGCTCCTGGACCTTCAGTGACTCCAACGCCGACATCACCTTTGCCGGCGACGCCTCAGAGACAGGGCAGAAATGGCCCTAGGACTTCACCTTCGGCACCATCAGCTGGTTCCAACTCAGGTGGCTCAGTTCAACGAGGTGACAGAGCAAAATCCGAGATGAAGTCAGAGAAGTCGTCTAGTTCTCAGAGGCGACCACGTGGAAACCTTCCAGCTGCACCGACTTTTGACGGTGACAGGCGCAAAGACCCGAAGTGCTTCAAGAAGTACGCCAACCGCGTGGATAGCTATGTGGCCATCGCGGAGAAGATCATCGACGATGGTGAGATTGGCTTGAGGCTTCATGCAGCCTTGGAGGGTGAGGCCGCTGACTTCTTGGAAGATGTGCCAGCGAGGGTCTTTGGTGAGAAGGATGGTTGGAGGGTACTTCTCAAAGTGCTCAAAGAGAAGTACGATGAGACAAGGATGTCAAAGGTTGGAAACGCTATGAAGTCTTTCTTCAGCATGCAGGTGAGCAGCGGCGACAAGGACAACAAGCCTTGCACTATGCGGGACATCATTGACAAGATGGACCAAGCTGCCCGAGGGTGCAAAGATGCAGGTCTGTCGATTCCAGACCCTGTGATGATCTACTTCTTCTTCGTCCACTCCAACTCTTCATCGGAGAGGCAGGCAAACCTTCTGCTGAGGACCAATGGAGAGTATGACTGGAGCAAGATCAAGCAAGCTGTGGAGCTGCTCTACCCCACGGTGGTGGTCAAGCAGGCCGACAATCGTGGACGACCTGGTCGAGGACGTGGAGCACACGAAGTTCAACAGCAGTCAGATGCCTGGTATGGCGATTGGCCTATGCCGGATGCATCTGATCAACAGTTTGGAGAGTGGCTTGAATACCACGACCCTGTCGAGACGGTCGCCGAGGCCTTCAGCTATGAGGAGGAGCAGGCAATCCCAGAAGGTCTTGCACGTGAACTTCATGGATGCTTTGCCAGTCACCGAGAGAACAGGCAGAAGCTTGCGAAAGCTGTCCAAGCCCGCGGATACTATGTCAAGGGCAAGGGCAAGAGCAAAGGTGGAAAAGACAGATCAAAAGGTGCAACCCCGAAAGGCAAAGGCCGTGGGAAAAGTGGGGGTAAAGCCCGTGGAATGAGTTTGGAAGAGCTCAAGAAGGTGACAACTTGTGCAGATTGCAATGAAACTGGACATTGGCGTGGTGATCCCGAGTGTCGTAAGTCCAATGTGGCAATCAAGGAAGAGCCGGAGGAGTACTACGACGACGACTATGACGTCGACGAGTGGTTCACTGGATGCTACGACTACGACCCTCATGCAGCACAACACCAATGGTCTGGATGGACTGATGACTACAAACAGCAGGCCGACGAGAGATCCGCTCATGCCTTGCAGAGGACGAATCGTCGTCGATTCCTGGAGCCCAAGAAGGAGTTGGACTATGAAGCCTACGACGTCGCCAAGAACATCGTTGAGCTGAAGAACAAGGCCCGGAAGATTGAGAAGCCGCAGTGGTCTACTTCATACAGATCGTCTTCAACGACTTCCAACATCACGCGCTCCGAGGAGTTCCTTGCGGAGAAGGATACCGGACCGGGGTCCAACTACGACTATGTCAAGTCCATCCCCAACGCTTCGAGATCTCAGCCTATGTCATCAGCAGGTGCGTCTGCTGTACGAGCTGCCCAAGTTGACTCCAACACTGGGCGCACTTTTGAAGAGCTTGGCTCAGTTTGGGCCCTTCTCAACGACTCCAAGGACAAGCCGGACATCGACAAGATGCGGGTGCGACAGGCCTACACCATGCGGAAGGTCGACTTCGACTTGACCGACGACGAGCTCATCGCCGACGAGAAGATGCCCAGGCTGTCTTTCAGCCTTTCAAGACGCAAGCCCACTGTTGAAGATGGTCGTGCTTACCTCACGATCGACACCGCCTGTGAGAACACAGTCGTTGGCAGTGGCTACATCGACAACTTGGTGAACAAGCTGAAGGACCACAACCTCATGCCCTTGCAGCAGCCCGAGAAGGAGCAGTACTGCTTTGGACCTGGGAAGCCACAGACCTCAACTACCAGGCTTTCCATCCCAGTTGGCATCGGTGGCAAACCTGCCATCATCCGAACCTCACTCATCAAGGAGGACAAGCTGACTGGTGGGAAAGGCCCCAATGGCATTCCTTTCCTCGCAGGACAAGATTGGCTGCTGATGATGAAAGCCGTCATCGACATTGGCAAGAACATGATCCAGCTGCCACTGCTGGATGTCCAGGTGCCGATCTCGGTTGACACCTCTGGCCATCTGGTGATCGCCATCGATGAGTACCCAGAAGATGGTTGGCCTCCGGGATTGACGACAACCGTCGACCAATATCCTGGAGCAGTTTTTGTGGCTGGTCGCAAACGCGATGCCATTGACGGTGACTTCTACCAGCCGAAGCGCGGTAAAAAGGAGCGTGAGGTGATGGCAGATTTGAGTTCAGCTACCTCTCCATTCATCCCCAATTTCAACTACGAGCCCAATCACGATACTTTGAACCATGGGATTTCAAAGGGACCTTGCAGTGTTCAATCAGACTACTGGGAGTACAACATCAAAGAGCACATGGCCATCCGCCACCACTGCAGGCCGAGAACAACCCTTTTTCATCCTGGAGAAGCTCACGACAGGCCAGATACCGAGAACCTGGTGTCCTACAGGGTTACATGTCGTGGGGGTTCAATGAATCCACAACTAGACGATTGGACCAAGTCAGAGAATGGGATGAAAGAGGATGCAAAGCCATGGACGGGTTGGACATGTTTCTTTTTCAAAGGAGCAGATCCACGTGCAGCACTTCCAACACCTCCAATTTGTGGGACAGTTGCATGTTTCAAAGATGGTGTTCGAGTTCATGTGGACCCCAACAGTCTGACCCCCATGCCAAACAACAAGAAGATTGTCACGTTTGACCTGCAGAGTGAAAATCCAATCTTTGAACATGCCTCATCAGTGCGGCAGCAACGTTTTGCCATTCCTGAAGGGCAATTTGGTTCGAGTAACCAACAACCTCAACATGCCGAGCTCCCACTCTCACCGAGCGAAGACTCAGCCTTTGGGCCAATGGCGTCGCTTGGTGATGCAGCTCAACTTCGTGATGAACTTGGCCGCAAAGTGGGTGACCTCGAACCTCGCAATTCGAGAAGTGAAACACCGTGCACCAGCTCTGATGGGCTACGCCGAGGCAATGGTCAAGCAGGAGATCCAACAAGCTCAAGAGACGACATTGCCAAGGACTTTGCCACCTTCGACGACGGCAGTTCCGGGACAGACGAGCCGGGTGATCAAGCAGCTCTACCCCGTCCCGACCGACATGTGCCCTCACGAGGTGGAACACGCCAGAAGGATTGGCAACAAGCACGGGAAGTTTCTGGAATGTGTGATGTGCGGCACCGTGAAGAAGGCGCTGGACGCGGAGTATGTCATCCCGATCAGCGGCGAGAAGGTGAACGTGTACGCACTTCAACACGGAATTCGAAACTGTCCGGGAGGAAAGGTGGATCCGTCAACTCGACAAACACCAGCCTCTTCAGCAAGCTCGGCCAAGTGCTATTTGCGCTCATTGCCACAAGCTTCGGAACCACACTCCAGGACATTGGGCAGAAGGACTTCGGGCAGAATTCCTTCAACGACCCGGGATGGTTATCCAACGATCTCACCAGCTTCCCCCGAATCGGAAATGTGGGAACAGGTGGGGAACGAGCCGATGGAAGAGGACCAGTAGATCTACAAGATCCACTATATGAAGGACTTCCTCAACGTTTGAAGTCCGGTGTCAAGAAGCGGCTCACACATTCAGCACGACGAGCTCTACAAAACAGTCGATCTGCCAGGGAGATCGTGGCTGACAAGGCGGCCAAGTCAAGATGGCCGAAGAAGAGCTTCAACTATGACGTGCTGGAAGTTTTTGGAGGAACATCTATGGTCTCCATTCAAGCAGCACGACATTGGGGACTACGAGTCATGCAGCCCATCGACATCAGAGTTGGCATTGACTTGCGCAAGCGCCGAGAACGACGATGGCTCTTGCGGAAGCTGGATGTATGGCGTCCAAGGATGGTTTTGGTAGAATATCCTTGCACACCTTGGAGCATCTTGCAGAGGAATGTCAACTTCCTTGACGACCCGGAGGCGCTCCATCGACTTCAACTGGCCGACAAGCCCTTCCTCAAGCTGACGAAGGACATCTTCGATGGACAAGTTCGACGTGGTGGACATGCACTCACTGAGAACCCTGCAACAGCCGACAGCCAGAAGGAGCCGGAGATTCAAAATCTACGTCAACGCTTCTATGAGACGACAAGCTGTATGTGCAGGTTTGGCATGAGAGGAAGGGGAGGCAAGCTCTTGCGGAAGAGAGTGCGATGGATCGCAACTCACAAGAAGTTCGTCGAGGCGCTGGATCTACAATGTCGTGGAGATCATGAACATGAGAAGGTTGAAGGCCAGAACACGGCCTTATCAGCACAATATCCTCCAAAGCTGGCAGACGTGATCTGCAAGACCTACCTTGATGTGGTCTCCGAAGAGGACTTTGGAGTTCACTACAGCTGGGAACCTTTTGAACGACGAGGAGCTTACTTCATCGACGTCATCAAGGAGGAGGACAAATGGCGACCTCTTCTACAACAAGCAGCGGAGATCCTTGCGAGAAAGGTTCAGAAGGATATCTTCCTCGATCCCAGCACCGAGCTCTACAAGCAGATCTCTACACTGGTTCCATGGCAGATTGCCAACATCCAGATCTCCCATCTGCCAAAGGCCAAGAGGATCAGACCTGGCCTTGAGAAATGTCACAGGTGTTCAGTTCTTTTGCAGAACGACGAGGCGGTGCTGATAGAAACAGAACATCTTCCAGATGCTCAAGCACCACGTGAACGTTTCATCACACCTGTGAGGTATGGCATCTTCGTCCTTGGCTATGCACCTGGAGATCCTCAAGCACCTTCACCAGCTCAACCACTTCCTCTACAACCTGCACCTGACCCTGGCGATGTTGTGGTGGATCACCTTCAAGAAGGTATGGAAGATCAACGCTTGGTCCGACAGGACTTTGGAGCTGGAGAATGTTGGTTTCAAGGACCTCCACTACGTGCTGAACAGAAGAAACTGGCTCCAAGCGTGGTGAGACTTCACCGCAATTTGGGCCACCCTCGGACTGAGGATTTTGTCCGAGCATTGGTGCAACACGGTCGCATGGACCCTGAATGCATCAACTTAGCCAAGAGGCTGAAGTGCGCAACATGTGAAAGGACGAGAAGACCTTTGCCGCCGAGACCTACGAGTTTGAAGGCGACGGGGTGCTTCAACGACAAGGTCTGCATGGACTTCTTCTTCTTGCACGACATCAACGGCATCAAGCACACGTACTTGCACATCTTGGACCCGGCTGGTGGCTTCAACCTGTTTGCCTGGTCACCATCGAGATCCCCTGACGACGTCTTGAAGATTTTCCACAGCTCCTGGGCACAGTGGGCTGGATATCCAAGACGGATCCTTCTCGACCAAGATGGCGGTTTTGAAGGAACCTTTGCCGAGATGATCGGACGAGTCTCAGAACTGGACTACAGTGCAGCCGAAGCCCATTGGCAGAACGGAGAAGTAGAGAGCTTCAACAAAGCTTTTCGATTTGCTGCCGAGCGCATCATTGATGAACGACAGCTTGCTGGACAAGATGAGATGCAGACACTCGGCATCATTGTCTCAGCAGCCATGAACGACAAGGTGCGGACTTCAGGGGCCAGTGCAAATCAGTGGCTTTTTGGAAAGAGTCCGCAGATGCCTTTCGACTTGCTGGACCGCGAGGGGCAAATCGAAGCTCTACAAGGACAAGAACCAGATGAAGAACTTCGGCTACGGCAATACATCAGAGCACAAGCAGATATGCTCATTTCCCAGTACAAGATCGACCATGCACTCCGCACAGCTGTCAACAGGAAGGGCCGACCTTCACGGCTTACCTATGAACCTGGAGAGCTAGTGGCTTTCTGGAGAAACGTGAAGAGGAAGAAAGGCAAACTTCTACAACCTGGATGGTATCGAGGCACCATCATTGGACCTCATCGTGGCACTGAAGAGGGCAACCAGAGCAACTACTGGGTGTCTTCAAATGGAAGACTCATCCTCGTGTCCAAGGAGCAGCTCAGACCTACATATGGTACGGAGCGCTGGCGCATTGAGGAGGAGGACCTTCAGAACTACCTGGAGGACGACCACGACTTCTACGAGGACGAGACTGGCGATGGTCCGCCAGAAGATGATGATGATGCTTCAGCAAGAGCAGATTTGGAGATGGTGGTTCCCCCGCTCATGGACGAGGAGTACACACCAACTACACCGATCGATACGCCTCGAGAAGATCCAGAAGTTCCAGCCGTTCAAGAAGGACCAGAAGAGATGGATGTGGCTATCAATCTCAAGGTGCCTTCGACACCAAGCGACGGAACTCAACCTCACCCAGATTCACCACTAGCAGCGAGAGCAAGCAGAGCACCAGGCACTCCAGTTGCTGGACTACTACAACGAAAACCTCCAGAACGAGTGACACCTCCCCGCTCATTGGAGTCGGAACCTTTTCCAAAACGACCAAAGACAGATGAACAACCTGACGGAAGTCAACGTGAGGCGATGGTGAACAACACCTACGTGCCGCAGTACCACTACGAGAAGCTCGCCATACCGAGCTCAAGTGTCTTCATGACCAGGAAAGACCAGAAGGCCTTGGAGAAAGAGGTCCCGTGGTCAATGATCCCAGACGAGCAGAAGCCAGGTTACAGAGATGCCCTGCAATGGCAAAGGAATGGGATACATGGCTGAAATATGAAGCCGTGGTGGTGCTGAACAACGAGGCGTCCAACTATGTCTCTCAGAACGTGGACTCCTCTCGCATCCTCAACACCAGAGTTTGCTACAGGAACAAGAACGCCGCGTTCCCTTGGATGCCCATCAAATACAAGGCAAGAATCGTCTGCAGAGGCGACATGGATCCGGACCTCTTGTCGCTGCGCAGAGATGCACCTACGTTGGCAAGATTGTCGCTGATGGTGATCTTGCAAATTGCCATATCGATGGCCGACTGGTTCATGTTCAACGCGGACATCACAGGAGCCTTTCTCCAAGGAGATCAGTCTTTGGCCAGTCGAAAAGAACCACTTTACCTTCGACAGCCTCGAGAAGGACTTCCTGGACTTTTCCGAGACCAACTTTTGCTGGTGGTTCGCGGAATCTTTGGCTTGGCAAATTCTCCACGCCTATTTTGGCGACATCTCCGAGATACTCTACTTCAGCTTGGCTTTGTGCAGTCCACTTTGGACAAGGCCTTGTTTTTCTACTACCAGGACAACAAGCTGATCCTGGCAGTTGGCGCACACGTCGACGATTTGATCGGCACAGGGAAGCCTGGCGAAGCGGACAAGGTCCTCAAGAAGCTTCGCGACATCTTCGACTTCGGTGCTTGGGCTGATGATAGAGAAGATAAGATTTTGGAATATGGTGGAAAGCAGATCACCAGAGAGAATGGTGTGATCAAGCTGACCCAGACGAAGTTCATCCAAGCAACTTCGGTGACTCCAGTGCCAAAGTGGAGGACAGCTACACCGGGAGCTTCTTTGATGCCTTCCGAGCTGACCGAACTTCGCAGTGTTGGTGGTTGCCTACACTGGCTGGTGGGGCAGACACGTCCTGACCTTGCAGCTGGGACATCGCTATACATGTCCGGCCAACCGACCATCAACAACTTGGTCACCCTCAACCGCCTGCTCAAAGAAGCCAAGGGCAGCGAAGATTGGGGCCTGACTTTTCGAAAGATCGACCTCGAGGATGCCAAGATCCTGGTCTACTCTGACAGCAGCTGGGCAAATGCAGACCAACTCAAGTCGCAAGCTGGCTTTATGGTCTTCATTGCTGGTGGCAACATCGACTCCTATGAGGGCGACGCGGTGACACTCTTGGATTGGAGATCCCACCGGATCAAAAGACAGTGCAGAAGCACCCTTGCAGCTGAGACCATGGCGATGGACTCCGCTGTGGACGCTGGAATCTTTTGCCGAGAGCTTTTTGCAGAAGCTTTGATCCAGGACTATGTGCCCACTACGTCCGGGAGATTGCCAACAAGCTTCATGGCCGTGCTGGCGGTGACCGACTGCCGCAGCCTCTATGACTTGCTGGTGAAGGATGGCGCACCTTCAACGACACAAGAGAAGCGGCTGACGATCGACATCAGTGGCTTGAAGGAGATAGCAACTGAGTTCGACCCCGAAGGGGAACAGCTCAAGGAAGTTTTTCGTTGGGTGGCAACGGAAAGCCAAGTCGCCGACCATCTGACGAAGGTAAAACCTTCCCATTTGCTACGTGCCATCTTGGAATACGGATGGCTGAAACTGAGAAGGATCGAATCTTCGATTCTTACCAATTTAAGATTTTGGGGAGTGCAATTCCCATAACATTTTGCCAGCATTTACATGCTTTTCTCCATTTTACCTGGCCGTGACATAGGGCCCTTGAGCGTCAGCTAGAAACCTGCGGTGCGCATCCCGCTTTGCTGTTTTGCCATAGGCTTGTGTGAACCCAGGCTCCACTACTTCGTCTTAGGACTTAAACCTTGTGAAGCAGGTTTCCCAAAGACTCCCAATTGCAAAGTCATCATAGGCGAAGTGAAGCAATAATTCCAAGTGGAGCCTCAATAAGACAAATCTGTGGTGGTCATTTCTCGGGCAACAAGATTTCGACAAGATTCCGCCTTCTTTCACAGCCTTTCATATTCCAAGATGGCTGGTCGATGTGTTGTTGTTTCTGATCTGGGCCCTTCTTTGTGCTGTCTTTCAAAAGCTTAGGCCAAGCTCTGTGAGACCACAGACGCCAAGCAGTACTAGCCCGAGTACGGGGTACCTGAGCTGCACTTTGGTGACAGTTGACATACAGCATTCTATGGAGGTCATGTGCTAGGGCATGGCTGCTGCCGGACCAGCACACGTGACATTTTCTACTGATAATTGAGATGATTGTGGCAGCTGAGAAGCTGTTTGCATTTTTGATGTGACAACATGTCAGACATTTTGCGCTCAAGCATCTGTTGGTGGATGAATCTAGGTGCGCTACATCTGTTGTTGGCTTCGATGCAAAGAGCTCAGCTGAAACTGATTCGAACAGTGGGGCCGGAGTGGCTACGGTAGGTCTCTGCAGAGTCCAGGTGTGATTGCAATTCCTCACATTGACTGCTATAATATGTTGGATCTGTTTGGGATCTCCTGTGTTTGGGTTGCAATTGACTGAGAACAATGAATTTAGATGCTTTGAACGGGTTTATATGTAGTAACATTAAGTGGCGTTCAAACATTCCTTGCACATCTTATTTTCTAGTGTCTACATATATGCAAGACACACACACATATATATATAATATACATATAATATCATATAATTATATATGACATATATTCCCAAACATTCGCTTGTTGCTTATCATTGTCTCTGATTTCTCTGATTTTTGGTGTCAGGGCTCTTTCACCCAACCTCACAGTCCCCAGCGGTACACCTCCACGCATGGCAGCTCAGTTTCATGCCACGAGTGGTCGTCGTTAGGATGGAAGCATTCGGCTTGAGGCAAGGAATCTCTTGACAGTTGCGATGTCCCTTGGCAGGTTGCATTTTTGTTTCCACTTCTTCATGAAGACTTACTCACTCCACAATCACTAAAAACCACAGTTTGCCTCTCTTCAAACCTTGGTTTAAGCCTTGATTGTTGATTGGCATCAGAACTGATATATGGCTCACACCAGGCTCAACTGCCTTTTACAGACGACATTGTGTCAACTGGCTTGTATACCGGTTGGTGAAGTGCCGTGGCACTCAAAAACTCAGGCCAAGTACTGTGAGACCACAGACACCAACCAGTACGTGCCCGAGCACAGGGTGCCTAAGCTGCATTTTGGTAAGAGTTGGTCCATTGTCGCATGTTGCTTTTGTCGGATGAGGAACTGTAGGGGTTTGCAAAAAGCACGGGCTGTTCCGTTTCCTGACAGCGTAGATGTATCACCACCTACATTGCCTTAAATAGCTAGGTGGAATCAACAAGTGACATCCACAAGCATCTACGAGCTGGCCAAATGAGCATCACAAATCAGCTCCGTGCCCTTGTTGACAGCGGCCAAATGGTCTGCTGCTGTCCCCTCACTTTGAATTGACTGTGCAGAACCAAACAGCAAGGGTATGTAGTTTATCGAGCGAAGTCCGTTGCACTTCACTGTGGTACTTTGTATTGCGCTGCAATACGGTTTGGTTGGTGTACAATGTACGGGCTGCAGGGTACACTCTACACCATGATTTTCGTATGCTTTTGTTTGCTGTAAGACATTGTGGCATGTAGTTGCAGTATCAGTATATTTTATGGATTTGTGAAGCATCTTTGAGATCCGACAGAGTGATGGAGCTTCATGAAATTTGGTAATCAGTAGGTTTGTACCTCTTGGCAGGCTCTTGTACCTTGGCAGCTTCTAGTCATACACAGTTTTTACATGTTTTTACTAAAGCATTGGTCTGACAATTTGGTCCCCTGCGGTAGGGCAGAATGCATACGCTTTGGCACGTTAGGTGCTCAAAGGTCAGTCTCGCTCTCTCACTGAATCGATCAACCAACCAGTCACTCTGTGAGTCTCACATCATGCCCTTCACCAAACAAATCACTTGTCCAGTCCCCCACTCAACTGCAAACTCCGTAGTCAAGAACTCACTTCTGCACTCAATTGCTTACCCTCTCTGACCCAGTCCTTTGTGCATAGTCGAGGCAGCAGATTGTTCATCAGTTACAGTCATTGACTGCGTCCAGCAAGCACTCACGCTCTCACTCACTATCTTGGACTGTCCTCAACAAGTCCCTCCTTTGACTATGAAGTATGATTTACAGTATTTGGTCAATTGTACACTCGACTCACGAAGCATTGAACTCCTCACAGATTCCGTTCCTCAAGGCTTCCATCTTTGCAAGCTCCGATCCTTGGAAACCTTTGGGCAATTTTTATGTAGAACCTTTGATGTTTCTTGACTTGAAGCACGACATGCCGGACATGCCGCACATACAAATTGACGGAGGTGCACAGCATCTGTGGTCTGTTTGGACGTGCAGAGCCCAGCTCTGTCTGCGCAAGAGCGGAATTCATGCTGTGGTGATTGTAAAATGTGTAAAGGACCGGCTCCAAAGTAATTTGCCGTCGACATTAGTGGCACACTATGGCTTCTTCAAGCATCGGAACGTTTTGCAAAGTTCGTGACTTGCAAAATTAGAAAATCCAAAGCTGTGAGGCGCCACAGCGGCGATGTTGTCAGCAAGCAGCGCCTGTTCAGGCTTCCTTGTTTCCAGTGCTAAGCAAGACCGGCTGTGAAGATCGACATAGGAAGTACTGTGAATGCTGGTGTGATTCCACTCCTGTTTTTAAGACAATGTTCTCGCGGAAAACTTGTGATAGCTATTACAGACATGCAGCCAGTCAAGTGCAGCTCATGAGGTATGTGGTTTCGGAACAATTGTGGTTGTGCCAAGAGAGATAGAAATGCATAGAAATGCCAGGTATGCAAACCAGAAAAGAAATGCCAGATACACTCAGATACACCAGGTGCTTTACGGATCTTTATGTGTATTGCGCAGTTTTTTGTACCGTTCGAACCGTGCTGTGCAGGTGGATGACAAGCCCAGGAGTCCAAAATGTGCATGGCCAACCTGGCCAATGACGTGTCCTCGGTGTCCTCGAAGCGGGATGTGGGACATACGGTGAGGCATTCAGAGGCCCCTGGGAAGCTGGGCAGTTGGCAAAGCTCAGGCAAGACGACAATGACATGGCAAAGATCCAGTCAAAGTGCTGACCTCGGCAGACTTTGAAAGTTTGCCGCCGCGTTCTATTGGTGGAAACACAAGAAACACAAGAACCACAAGTCCAATGTTTGCAAATTGCATCAAATTGCCTAGCCCAGATTTGTTTGACATCAGGATACATCAAGTGTTGCAAGAAAGTATCTTCATCGTCCACGATGCAGCGATTTTTTAGTAAGATGATTGGAGTATTACAAAAGCACCACAAGTCCCCCCAAGCATCCCAAATCTAGAAAAGAAGGCTAGTAGAAAGGTGAGAATGTGCCAGTCAGTTTGATTGGTCCAGAAATCCATGAAATCTGGACCAACGAAAAGAGAAAAAATCATTGTTGGTGTCTTGTCATCATGTCAAAAGGTGGGTTTGCTCTTTCGCACGCCAAAGTTGCGACGATTTTTTTTAAAATGATTTTTCTCGTTTTTGGCGCCTTTCATTTTCCTTTTAAAATTCCTTGCAACAAAACTTCAAAATCGTACTTTTTTCGGCTTTGACGCCGAGATCAGGTTTTGGAGCAGGTTTTGGGCCAGGGAAGAGCTGAGATGATCTGAGAGTGAGCTGAGAAGAGCTGAGCTGAGGTGAGAAGAGCTGACAAGAGCTGAGAAGGGCTGAGATGAGCTGAGAAGATGTGAGAAGCGCTTAGAAGATGTGAGAAGAGGAGAACACACTCTAGTTTACAGCAACACTTTCACCTACAAACACAACTTTTATCTAGGGTTCAGAAGGCAGCCGGCGTCCCATCTTGGCCTTAGCTGTTCTTGTCTTGGGCGGCTGTTTCTTGCTTACAATTGTACAGCCTGCTTTGGTGGGGGTTGCTGTGGGTCTCATGCATCATTGGATTCCTTGAATCAGTTCTTCTGTTTTTAGGTTTTTGTTTGATTTATGTGGGCATGGACACAGCAAAGATTTGCATATAAGATCTCTACAGCTGAAGGCTGACTCGAAATAGCCTCTTCCTTCCTGAACCAGATATCAGATATACATATATAGATGATTGCCTGGACTGTCGTGGGCTGCTTGGAACCTTTGCCCGAAGCCTCGTGGACAAGTGCAAAGCGTCAACTCGCAGCCTCTTAGCTGCTAAGAGTCTCTCAGCAATGCGCAGAACAAAATCAGGACACCTTCCAACCTCCAGGACCTTGTGACCCAATAGCTTCGAAACTTTACTTAAAACGCAACATAAATGGACTAGAGCGTTCACCAATTTCATGGATTCATCATCCTGTATTTTAATGGCGGAGGGGGTGGGGGACATTCTTTTTTGCATATTTCTTTCATCAATTGAACATCGTCGTTCAAACCAGGTTGAAAGGTAATCAAGAACATGTGGAAAAATCGGAAAATATGCCCACTCGAAACAGTCAAGGATATGTCTGATATGTCCAATGTACAGTAGCACTAGAGAATCACTGTGGGTGCCTGAGGAGTACACTGGGAAGCAGGTGCAACGAAGAAAGATGCCAGCCCATGATGCCTTTACATCCAGTTGTAGCTGTTATTAAGTTGAAGAAACGGGAATGACTCAGCATGGCAGATGAAAGTTTCTCAGCACCGGGTTTACGTTTAGTAAAATGGGAAATATACAGTTCGTTCAGTCGTGTATTTTAGCTTTAAAGTCACAAAGCATCTTGTGATCGTAGTACTAAATAGATGGCGTGCAAGCAGTAAGTTTGTGATAATTTTTGGCGGATACTCGATGATACTCGGCTCTTAGAAAGCTATTGCTCAGTGAACTGTGAACCATTTCATTTTACCAAGGTTGTATGCGACACCACCAGAAGCGGAGGATACTTTGTTGCAGTTTGGTTCCTGCCGCGATATCTTGTATCTTCTCTCGTGACCATATCCTTGAAAAGCTTGGAACACCTTAGGATAGGAGTTGCACTCTTTGAGTCATGGACTTGACTTAACTGAGATAGAAATGGTTGCTTTGTTCTAATCAGTAGAACCACCAGAGTTTCTTGCAGGTTGTATGACTGCTTCTGTTAATCAACCGAACACCAACTCCTTTGAATGGAGCATTTGTTTCTTTTTGTTATTTCATGAACCACCTTATGCATCTAAAAAAATATGATTATTTCTTGTATCCCATAGTCCCATAGTTAGTTTTTCACTCCACAGATGATCTCCACGCTGTGGAACGCTCAAGGTATTGCCTCCCGAAGCTCAAGAGCTACTGCGCGCATTAGGCAGGAGAGTTGTTGCTTAGCAAAGATGATGATCCAGAATTTACCATTATTTACGCCCAATTTACCTCTGCAAATGCTATGTAGATCATATTTTGGAGTGTTTGAACGGTGAGAACCTATGTTGGCTTGAGTGCGTGTTGCTGCGATTGAACATCCCGTGCGTGCAGGCCAGCCTTGGGAGACACCAAACAAGGCATTGGATCAAGAGCTGATAGGTAAAACATGTGGTAAATCCGATGAAATCTACAGAATATGCTGTAAAACGTGTGTGTGTGTGTAACATCTAAATAGATGTAAAACTTCTCTCTTTTTTTCTTCCTTTGTCCTCTCCCTTTCTAACTCTAATTTCAATGCAGGGGGCCACCGGGGTCCCGGGGGGGTCGGTGGCCACCGAAGACACCCCCCCGGGACCCGTGTAAACGTACCTGCATTGTTTCGTATCTAATCTGCATGTTTCAGGATTCAGTTCCTGCCGGATCATATAATGATCCATTCTTGTCTAGTGTGATTTCCATGGTGGCTCCGACATGGTGCCATGGAGCCATTTGAGGCAACCCTTTTCAGGGTGAGTGATGACAGTCCTGAATTCTGAATTCACACATTTTAACCTAGTAATTCGTTTAAGTAAAGCGAAGCAGTCGGCCTTTCCGTTTTTGCACCGTTTTTCAAGAGTCCCGCTGCTCCTGCGGTCCCATGAGAACCTTGAGAGATGCATTCTTCCCTGGGACGCCGTGCTGAACAACCACAAACCTTTTGTTTTGGCTGCAGCTTCAGCTTGTGACAAGCAACATGCTCCATGTATGACAGGCTACAGGCATGTCCTTTTCCTGCAGGTGTGGTCTCTTTGGTATCTGGTGAGGTGAAACATATTGTGCATCTAATTCGATGGAACTTGAAAGCCGTTTATGCCCTTGTGGCTGACTGGAACACGGGCCTGTTGTGGCACAATCGCACGAACAGTAGGTAGAGGAACTGAATCCTGTTTTTTAACTAATTGTTTTGTTTTTTGTCTGGCATCAACTAGTTCCCCATAGGTCCCTAATCTTTCCCCGCGTGCCTCTCCGTAACGTGTTGTGGGGTTTAGGTGTGTGCGCTGTTTTTGTCAGGTCCGTTTCGCCGTGTAGGTTGGTTCCGGAGGTCCGTCTGTTCCCCTCCCGCCCCTGCGCTGTTTTTGGCCGTCTGCCCGTCGTGTGTCCGCTTTTTTCTTCCTCTTGCCTTTCAGGGTTGACCCGGCTCCGGCCGGGTGTGTGTGTGTGTGTAACATCTAAATAGATGTAAAACTTCTCTCTTTTTTTCTTCCTTTGTCCTCTCCCTTTCTAACTCTAATTTCAATGCAGGGGGCCACCGGGGTCCCGGGGGGGTCGGTGGCCACCGAAGACACCCCCCCGGGACCCGTGTAAACGTACCTGCATTGTTTCGTATCTAATCTGCATGTTTCAGGATTCAGTTCCTGCCGGATCATATAATGATCCATTCTTGTCTAGTGTGTGTGTGTGTGTGTGGAATGATGACGTTTGAAGTACTGCAGGCTGAGCTGCGCCAATGTCGTGCTATGCTTGGCAGGCACCCAGCAAGCTTGTTGCCATTGGTTGGGGGAGAAGGTCAAAGACACTAGGACATACTAGGACCATCTAGGACTTTTTCATGGATAAAGCATGATAAAGTAATTTATAGGACAGAGCGGTGGCAAGCAGACCAAGTAGTTTGCAGCCTTGACTTGAAGAGGCAGGCAGAACAGCTTCATCACCAGCATGGAGAGATTCGCCGTTTACGTTCGTGTGGCTCTTGGAGAGGGTTTGTTTGACTAAGGGACTAAGGCTTCAGAACTTTAGTGTCGTGAGAGAAGACGATGAACAAACTTACCAGCTGCAAAGGTGGCAAAGGGGTCTGTCAAGACTGGAACCACCCGACATCACCCGACAAAGCAGCCAGATTTGGCCGTGAGACGTCAAGACTGCCCCAGGATTCAGCAACCGGATTCACAGAAGTGTAATAATCTCTGAATCATTCCCAACAGCACGACACCTACAACAGAAATGAGGGAGCTGCCTTGTTGAACCTTTCCATCCCATTCTACCCCACCAACAATGGGGGCCAACGGGGCCAATGGGGGCCAATGCAAGCAGTGCGGACTAAGATCCTGTGAGTATTGCCACTGTATGACTTGTTTGCACCTCATTTTCCGAGGTCTCCAAGTTGCCCTCAGGCCGAGTTGAGGGTAGCAGGGTAGCACAGCACCTTCGGAGCGACAAAAACATGCAAAAACCTGAGCCCTGTCAATATTTCTTGAAATCAGTATGCCATTTAGTTCAAACTGGTACTCCTGACCCTCAGCAGAACTAAACCAAATCGTAAAGAATAAAATTGCGATCCAAATGACTTGAATGAGAGCAGGACGCGTCAGTGGTACCACTGAATTTCTCATGCGAGGGCTCAAGACGAAGCAATAGCTTTCCTTGTGCTGCGGCTTTCTACAGTTTTTCCATTGTTTTTCCACCATGCGGTGGCTCATGGGAGTTGCTCTCGTAGCCTGGGTTTGCTTAAGGTCATTTTCTATTGTACCATGGGCAATTCCAACATTTGGGCGTGTCCGAGAATGGGCCAAAACAGCAATTTGATAGGGAACGTGACGATCGACCCGTGGACAAATGATTTGGGGAGTACCACAGTTTAAACCCACAGAAATGAAAACCCTTCGGGTACGATGTAAAATGGATATGAATAAGTCAATAGTTTTTTTAAAAATATTATATAGTACGATATGTAATTATATATATATATACGTTTATCTGATATGTAATGATACACATTTATGCGTGCTTTTGTTTTTAGATGCCACTCCAAGGTCATCTGCGGTCTGACAATGAGCACGTTCGGAATGCAGTTTCTACGCGTTTCAGAGCTGAGGAAGAAGGACGAGAAGCTGCGGGAGAGCCGCAACTTCTTCATCCTGGGCATGGTGACCTGGATTTAGAAAAAACAGCTTGATGTTTTTTCCTTTTTGTTCCATAGCTTTTAATCTGCAACTGCTGGATCTATTGGGAATATTTTTTTTGGGGGGCTTCCTTGTGAATAGATGGCTAGAGAATCTCGCAGCGAAGTGGATGACCTAGAGTACCGCATGAAATCACCAATGTTTGCCTGATTTCATGATGTCTTTGTTCATTGAAGGTCCTGCAAAAGCGGGGCTTGTTGCTGGGGTGATGGGAACATTTTTTTTGGGGCCGGGCCGGGCATCCCTTGGATGCCCTTCTCCCTTTTGGCTGATTGATGAATCGGCAGAACTTTATCCCACTGCTGGTGTTTCTGCCAGCTTGGTGTAAAATCAAATCTTCAGCCAAAGCACGATTCTATCTTGCCCCTGTAGTTTCTCGGAGAGGAATTTGTTGGAGACTTGCAAAGAGATAAACAGGACCTTGGCCACTGGAACTTTATCCAGAGATGTTTTCCCCCATGGTCCCAAAATTGAGTCTGGATATTTTTTGTGTACCATGTACCTTTGGGGTTGTGCCCTTTTTTTGGAATAAAAATTTATTCCGAAAAAACTTGGCCCCAAGAAATTTATCCGGGATAAATTTGGGTACAACCCCCCGTAGGCACCACACATGGGGATTCGACAGGAAACCCGCCCGTTTCCCACAACCAATGGGTAAACGATGAGGAAACCTATGCCAAAGCGACTCCGCCATTTCATCATGTGACCTCATCATTCATAATTGAACAACCCGTCAGTTGGGGACGTGTCCATGCATTGGTACTGTAAGTTCTGGATGGATTGACTTGGTGACAGGCTACATATGGGGACCATCTTCAGGGTGATTTATAAAGAAACATGATATTCAGCAGGCAGCGAGATTGACACAGCAAGACAGCAAGATGATGACCGATTATGACACTGATATAGACGTTGAATTCTTTTGGAACCCAAGCTGACCCACCTCCAAGGCCATGAACGTATTTTTTGGACCTCTGTGCGACGTAGCTGGCTATGCATTTGCGACGGCCGCTGTCATTGCTCCCTTCTCTGGTTTCAACATTGTCACTGGGTGTTTTGTCAAAACAAACCGGGGAAGAGTAGCAAACACGGTGAATTACTTAGCAACAAAAGTGCTTTCAGACCACGCAAATTGTTGGGTTTATTTGGTTATAAACAAACATGTTGGATTTTTCATCACTGAACGTGTGTGTAGCACTTATGATTTGGGTAGTAATAATTATTTTCCCCATCTGAGGACGTTTTTAAGTACCAAAAGAAAGGTCATGGTATGTTTTTTCCATTTTTTGAATGGGAGGATGAATTCCATTCAACTGATTCTTTTGGTGCCATGGGTGCCCACAACCAATCGTATAGCAAGGTGATCAATGCCGTCGTCGCTCCTTTCACCTTGGGTGAGAAGCTCACGACCCGTAGGAGCGGTTTGGAACTGGTGAAGGGCCTGCGATAGCTGTGTAAAGCTGGGTGAATAGTAGCTTGATGCGTGTATATAATGTGAACATTTTCGATAGGGGAATCTTGTACCACTTGAGACCATCTCTCTGGTGTTGTCAAATGATGCCGACCGAGGATTGGTAAACCACTAGCTTTTTAACAGGGGGATGTGTTGTCAAGGCCTTTCAAAGACACCTCATATTGCTGAACCCCTGCAGATTATTTGCATTGGTGATGGTCTTCATCACAGCGACAATATCCATTTTCTTTAAGAATCAGAATGAAGATGAAGAGGTCTGGACTTTGGAGCGTGCTGAAGAGATTCTTCTGCGATGGACGGTCCTGGTATATGGCTTGATGTTCGCAATGTGGTTCTTTTTAAACATGTGGCTTCGCAAGCGCTCGCCGAAAGGTTCGGTGCATGTGGTGCACGCGGGTGGCAGCAGTTTTTGCTTCCGATTGTGCTTCTGCACACATGTGCAGCCCCTGGGGGCACTGGCTTCCATGGATTCTCTTGAGCGGAGCACTATTTTTCGCCGTGGCCAATGTTCCTTATATGACTAGAGGACTGCAAAAGTATGAAGCTCTCTATATGGTCACGATCTTCCAGGGGTCCAACATTGTCTCGAACAGCTTGAGTGCCCTGATAATCCTACGGGAGATGGACGGTGCACCTTGGTGGAAACTGATTGGCTATACTGGATGCATTGTGGTCATGAGGGCATGCCTTTGGATCCTCGTGTCCGGCGAAGAGGCTGTTTGTCCAAGCAACGAAGTGGACGCAGATCTGCAACGAATTCTTTCCATGGAAGAAGGAGGCGAACCTGAAGACACTCAATCGGAAGATGAACCTAATTTGATGGATTTTGTCCGTGCTATTTCGCTGGACCAATTTTCGCCTTTGTCACTTTCGACCCCTGAAAACGCTGAATATTCACGAGACGAAGAAGGATCGCGCAACGAACAGGAGGAACAGCATGAGAAGCCGAATGATATGCCAACTGCTGAATTGACGAAACCTCTCCACTTGTAGAACTTCGGTACATTTGAGTCAAGGGACGAAGCTTCTCTGTTTGCTTGAAGATTTCTTGAATCTGCCGTTGAATGTAAAAAGTGCTGTCGTGTGAGGAGTGAGGACGTGAAACATAACACTGTGTCAAGGGCACCTTCAAAAAGAAGTCTGAACATGTTTGAACAACGCATTTCGTGCTTTCGGATGCTTTTGGCATGTTCGTCATATTTCATCGCAAGCTTGGAACAAAGGGGGATTTAAGCAACGCGTATTGGGGATTATGCAAAACTGTAATTAGTAATTTATATTTACCGCACAGGTTTTCCCATGTCTTCCCAACAAAAGAACACCTCCAGACCATCCAGTGGTCCAAGGAGGCCCTCTTGTCTTTCCAGGTACGGACTTGGTAAACACAAAGTGCAGGCAGAACATTGGTAAAGACAAAGTTTTCGGTTTTCAAAACTTCAAAACCCCAAAACTCAATAGCACTCGACTGGCAATACTATGCTTTCTGGGTCGTGGCTTGGGTCTCAAGGGGCCATCCAACGTTCAAGAACCATAGATGATGGATGTAATACAATATTTTTTAAACACTCAAATATTATAATATATGGTATATACACTTCAGGTATGTATTCATTTGCATGTATATATATATATAATATATATATATATATGTAGCTGCCTGTATTATATTCAAATACACATACAGTTACAGGGTATCCCCTGGTACTGATGAAGTAATTGATTGTAGAGATCTCAAAAGACGAGCGTCGCTAAACAGTTGGATACCGAAGATACATCCAAGTTGCGGGATTTCTGACAGATCGTCGATAGCTTTTGTTTGCGTTGTCAGCACCTGTTTCAGGCAAGGACTTCGAGCATGCAGGCAGGAGGGTAAAGATTGGACAGGAAAATCAGATTTTGCTCTAGAAACCGAGAATTACTTGGTGTTTTGAACCCGAAGTAAAGCAATGTCAAACCAGAGAGCTTTTTTCCATGTTTTTCCCAGATATCTATGGCTCTCTGTAGCTAGCTGGCTACTTAACCTATCGACCATCCCTGTCCATCCGTGTGCATCCTGCTGTCATCTATCCTGCTATCCGTCGACAGTCTATCATCCATTTAGCTTAGCATCTAGACTTCTGTCCTTTGATCTGCATATCTTTCTCTTTGTTGTTCTTGGCGTCTCTGTTCTTCTGTGGGTTTAGCCATCCAGTCGGCGACCCATCTATGCATCTCCTCAGCATCTTCATATCTACACGCTTAGATACCCATCCCTTTGACTTCAACACAAACTTCACTAATCTCTCCTTCTTCCTCTCAGCTTTTGGTAGGGATCCTTGAGGGAGGGATAGCGGTCCTGACGCGATAGCTGCTGAAAGGACTTGGGTGGCCTATGGCCTATGGTATACTTACGAGAAAATGTCTGCGGACGACAATAAGCAATTAAACAGGGACAATTGTGTATTAAAGCGCTTCTTAGACCAGGAGCTAAAGAATTAGCTTCTCATCGCTGCAGGTCTTCCATTTCCAGTTGTTACTTTGCATCCTGCAAGGATGCCCAGTGCGAGATCAGCTGCCTCCGTGCTTCGATCAAGCGTCGGGAGGCAGAGGTGCACTTGGCACAGGCGGAGCGGAGCTGAATTGTTGTTCTGTACTCCAGTTTTTGGCACCCAGCGGTCGGCCGCCGGGCGAGGCATTTTTCGCTTTCTTTCTCCCAAGACGAACGAGCTCCTTTTGTTGCATCTTTTACTTGCAGTCTGTCTTTTCGTTGGCCCGCAATAACATCTGGACAAATATCCGTATACACAACAAAGACCAGTCCACTTCCGCACACTGGTCATGAGATTTGTCACAGGTGGAGCTGGCCTATCTCAATACTTTGGTTGCCCAGAAGGACCTGGGCTCAGAGCGACACTCCGAACTCAACACGCTCGCCCGACCGAGAAACTTTTATTCGGAAGAAGTTATCAGAAGACATGCAATTATCATCAAGGGTCCAGCGAGAAGTGAATAAAGGCTCACGTTACATAGTGTTACCAGGGATTGTAAAGGCAGCGTACTACGTGTCAAAGGATCCACAGCACTTTTGTCCACAAACCCATCCCTCCATGCAGAGTCAACAAAGAGTTCCCACCTACCAACTTCCATTGATTTGAAATCGATCAAGCTCGTCAATCCGAAAATGTGGGTTTAATTCCCTCACCTCAATCATAGGATATTATACCTGTTGAGTGTTGAAAGTGGTGCTTGATTGCGCCTGCAAAGAAAAGCAACATGTGAAGCAGATTGAAGCCTTCGACTGGACACATTAGACTGTTTATTTCAAGCAGCTGTAAGGAATTAGGATCCCCGAACAGAACCTAGCAATATTAGATGAGTTAGTCTGATATAGGTGCTAGGCTTTGAAGATCCTGAAGTTACAACAAGACGTGTTGTACCATTCTTGAAAGCGTTGTAATGTCAGGGTGCTAGTAATGATGTCGTGTAGTTGTGCTGCTGCTTTGGTGCGTCGCTTCTTCTTGATGGGTCTCCACTTGTGGCACAGGACCTGCAGCTTCAGAAAGCTGAGGAGCGGTGAGATCCTCTTGGATAACTGGGTGTAATTCTGATTTTTTGGCAGGGAAGAGTATGCCCTATGTCTAGTAGGATCATTCACAATCCCCTTTTTCCTCGCTAGAACGCCTTGAAAGATATGTTTGGACTACAAATGGTTGCCGTTTGCACCAACGGTTTGAATACCTTACTTGTGTTTTGAGGAGCAGTTTGGGTTTTCTTGGCTTTGTGTTGGATGAAGAAACCTTGCAAAGTCCTGCGTTCATGCTGTCTAAACTGACCCAACAGGGAAGGCCAAATTTTCCGACAGTTTTTCGGTGAGTTTTGAACCCAAGTCCTGGCACCGAAGTGCTTGCAGGAGCCGCAGTCTGCTGGGAAGCGCATTGCCAAGGTCTGCAAAGCACACTTCTTCCAAACTTGTGCCGAAGATTGGTCGATTGCAACTGGCATCCTGCACTCCTCTTTGGCTTTATTTTGATGTCTGTGAAACATCTTGCAGGAGGAAATTGCGCTCGCAGAGGCAGAAGCAGACTCCTACAATGTACTGTAGCGAACGCTGTCTCTATGTCGAGTTGAGCAAACGAGTGGGTTTTCCCCGCTCCACCAATTCGCAAAAGGAAATGGAGTTTGATGATGTTTCATGTATCTGTATGTATTTGTCATCATCAAGGCGAACTCTTGCCCTCAGTCTCTGTTGAAATGAAATAGTGTACAGGGTGTGGGGGATGTCTTCCTTTCATTGTTCGGAGTTCGGAGGCTGAGGCAGAGCAAATGCTTCAACCTTTGGAACGGCCCTCAGGGCAGGAGGTGGAAAGTAAAGCAACGTGTCACTGGCTATTGATTACACATTCATATTACGGTAGATTATGCAGTTTTGAAATGTACAATACTTATTTTGAATGTACCGAGCACATGTACTCATGAATGAATAAATAAATATATATATATATAAATTGGAAAAGACAAAAATAGTAATGATAATGATGATAATAATATAATATGTATATATATATATGTAACATGTATATATATATATGTAAATATATGTATATATATAAGTATACATGTATACACATTTAAACAATCCGACCCCGGCAAGGGATCAATTGCAACACCGCCCACCCAAGAACCAAGTTGATTCTTATTGATGTTTCGAGCGTCTTCAAGCTTCTTCAGTAAAATTTTAGCTGCTCGCGTATTCAATCCTCGCAATCCGTTTAATCAGTGTTTTCATTGTACGCCTGTAAAGACCGTCCGAATGTCAACAACAGCGCCATGTTTTGCAACATATGCCGCGACATGTACATCTGGGAATGCTTGTATAGTGTACACACAGATAACAGCCAGTAAGAACGAGTCATGCTGTGGCCATTTATTTGCTCGCAATATCCATAGATAATCCAAAATAATCTAAAATCCATTGTGTACCTGTCTCTGTGCGCACAGGCACTAAACAGCTTTGAGCATAACACCTGATATTAGGTCCTGGTGCAGGTGCTGGGCTACAAGGATTTGAGAGTACAGGTCATTGGAAGTGAGCATGAACTCCAGATTTGAACATTTAGCTTTCATATGGCGTTTTTTTCCCGAATGCGTAGCAAGGGTTCCCGTTTCATTCTGGGGGACTGGGGGTTGAGGGTGTGTTCGCTCGATGTTGTGTTTACGATAGCAACCGTCCGCAACCGTCCGCAACCGCCCGCAACCGTCCGCAACCGTCCGCAACCGTCCGCAACCGTTCGCAACCGTCTGCGTGAGGGCCGCCGTATGGTAAGTTCTGCAAAAGGGGTCATTTTTGGAGGTTTCAATCGTCGCGTTGCTTCGTTTCGCGTGGCAAGCGTGGCACTTCGTGACATTCAGACGTGTTTCGTAACGTGTGGAAAGTCGTTTTGTGTGGCAGGCGCAATACTTTTGCGACGTTTTCAGAAGATGCGTTGCATTTTCCCTGGCAGGGGCAGCACTTTGGAGACCATCATCGTGCTTTTGCGTGGCAGGCGCAGCACTTTAGACGTGTCTTGTGGCTTGTTTTGTTCGAATGGCATTGTCAGGGCTGCGTGAAGTGGTGACAAGGTGGTGAAAATTGATGGAAACCTCGCACGAAACATCGATTTTGAGGTTGCAAATTTTTATGTTCAGGAAAACACCGATTTTGAAGCTACAAAGTGTCAAAGTTGGAGGAGGTCTCGCAGGAAATGCTCATTTTGATGCTCCAACATGTCTCGTCTCGAGTCTCTGGTTTTCCTCTGGCTTCGCCGTGTCTATGGGGGGAAGCTGCAAAATCTATCCCTTTTGAAGGTGTCAAATCAGGTTGTAATGTTGTTTTACCTGCCCGGCTTGGCACTTCGTGACATTGAGACGTGTTTCGTAACGTGTCGAAAGTCGTTTTGTGTGGCAGGCGCAATACTTTGGCGCCGTTTTCAGACGATGAGTTCCAGTTTTTCTGGCAGCCACAGCACTACACTCCACACTCTGCACTCCACACTCCGCACTTTACACTCGAGACTCCACACAAGAGTCGTTTTGTGTGGCAGTCTGGTGTGGTC